ACGGGTAAGCTTTCTGCTTCGACATCTGGAATTCCTTTATGTATGCAATGGACAAATATCTTCCAAATTCGAATATCCTTCATTTCTCCTTCCTTTGTCCTCTATTTTGCACTGGCTTCACCCACATGTCATTTGGAACATTAGTAGGTGGTTTGAATGTCGCTTTTTGATTCACCTGGGGGTAAGGACTGTCTGGACTTCGAGGGATCCTACACTTGTCGAACACGAAGCCACTTCTGGTGTCTCTCTAGTGGCCCCTCTTTCGAGTGACCCACACCCTCTCATAGTTTTCAGCAACCTTTCAATCACACACTGAGCTTCACCTTAGGCACATCAAGGCTTTAGAGTTTTTTTTTCTAGCATCGAATGAGAAAATCTAGCAGACTCTCTCCTGACTCAGGATATTCCTTGTTCATCTGGTTCTCCTCAGCATGTTGGTTCATTTATACCATGTTAACTTCATGGCTAGGACCATTAGTGATCCTGGATGCTTTAAATTTGACTCTAAGGCCCTCAGTGACCTTCTCCATATCAGCACTTGGAACAAAACCATCAACAGTTTTACCCTCAACATCTTTGGTGACGAAGCCTTCAGTAACCTCCACCATATTAATATTTTCAGGTTCAACATAGTTAGTCTCTGCCACCAGTAGAGGGTCAGCATCGACTTTCATCTTACTCTTCTCGCCAAACTTCAATCTTTTGTTGGTGATAGCATTCTGAATTAGATCCCTGAAAAAGAAAAAACTGCGAGGTTTTATGTTCTAAAAATTATGATATTTGCAAAATCCTCTTTTCTTCTGTTGTTCTAACAGAGGAATTTCGGCGCCAGGTGGCACAATCATCTGGCCATCCTTCACCAATAAATAAAAAATTTCATCACACTTTGTTACATCAAAAGTGTATATATTCTTAGGGAATTTATCATTCTTCTCTGGTTCAACAAGATTCTTCCCATTCGAAGGGACTAAGAATTTGTAGGAATAGGGTGGGGCTTGCTTTAATTTAGTCAAATCCACTTCGCTTTCTTCGAAACCTATAGGGTCACTATAGATCTCTTATTCCTCCTCTTCGGCTTCGACATATTCCACCCTTTCTTTTCTATTATTTTTATTCTCCCTAGCCTTTTCAGCCTTCAAACGTTCGATTTGGTGAACTCTAGTTGCTAATTGGGCCATGTCCCTTAAATATTGAGTATCTAACTTCTTTCGAATGGAATAATCCAAACCATTTGCGGCCATTTGGACCAACTCATGTTCAGGTACCTGTGTAAAACATCTTGCCTTTAATAAACAAAACCTATTTAAGTAATCATCAATTGGCTCAGTAAACTTTCTCTTAATACTAGTCAATTCTTTTAGACTAATCTTTTATTTTCCCATGTAAAACTGCTCATGGAATAACATCTCTAAGCGAGTCCAATCATGGATGGAATTCGTAGGGAGGGTAGTGAACCATGTAAAAGAATTTTTCGTTATCAAACTAGGGAAATATTTTATCTTTAGATTTTCATTATTCACTATGTCCCCAGCCTCGATAAGATACCTGGCTATATGTTCGACAGTACTGGTGTCACCATAAAATTATATGAACTTTGGGACTTTTCAACCCCGGGATAATTCAGTCTGTAGAATATACTCATATAAAGGGGATGTGTAATTTGGCCTTCGAAGGCCTATATTTACCCCCGTTTCGAGTCATTATTCTTTCGACCATGGTTGTCAGATTATTTTCCCCTGGGTATTCGTCTTGTCAGACACGCTGAAGGATTTCATCTGCGCCCTGGTTTCAATTGACCATCACAACCCTTTGGGCTAAGATTTCCCTTGGTATGGCTTGTTCGACCCTGGGTTGTTCGATTCTGGGCCCCTGATTGACTTCACCAGCATTCTACGCAATTGGTTGTGCGTGGTTGATTGTTGGATCCTCTTCGACTACTAACCCTTGATTTTCTCTCATCCAATTTCGACGAGTCTGTCAAACTGGGACTTGAGAAGCACCAAAGAAATCTGCAATTCGTGCCATCTGCGCTGCGAACTACTGATTTATTTGGGCATTTTGTTGGTTTATTTGAGTATCACTTTGAATCAATGGGTTAAAGATTGTACCCATTTATTGGGCTAGAACACCAACCATTTCATGATTGTTGTCATCCATTTTTTGTCGAAATGTCATTGTAGAATTTTTTGTTAAGTTCGGTAATTAGGCAGCGAATTCTGGGGGTGGGACATTTCAACTCATGTAATTAATTCCTGATCTTGATCCTTGTAGTGGCGAAAATGTTGACATTCTTGAGTCAGGTAATGTGGATGCACTATTGTTTAGGCTTGTCACTATAGATGTTGGCATGCCATAAATTTGTTCGCGGTCGCCCATTGGCATTGTGAATCCATAGCAAAATTCCTGAAATTGTTTGTCCCTGGTGGTCTTGTATTCGTTGGGGAACCCTGCGTGCACACTGGGGATAAAACTGGACCGCTGAAAGCATTTGTCAAAAGTCCTGTTGTACTTGCTTGAACAGGTATCAAGTCGGTTACAAATGACGCAGCCGTATTTTCCCCTATTGAAGGGGGTGGTTGTTCTATATTGTTATTGTGTGGGTTAACCATCTTTCTAGTGTATTTCCTCTTGGGTATATGTTCGTTAATTTTGACTAATTTTTCACTTCTTAATCTCATACAACAATGTTAAAGAATTGAAACAAAGAACACAATATAACACAAAAACTTGTGACAAAACTTAGACACTGATCCCATTGGGCGTGTCAATTTGTTTACCGTGAAATTTGATAAATAACCGTTAATCTTCCAAAATAAATAATTTGTTGGTTACTCGCAGGATCGACTAAATTGATCCTAGGACATGTGTCTAAAGATGTTTGACTAGTGTTTCTGGATATTTGTTCTATGTCGAAAAGATAAATATAATGAAGGTAAAAGTAAAGACAAAAATTTGAAGATAAAGGCAGAAAAGGTTTTAAAGTAAAACTGGGATGTGAAGAATTTGACTTAAACTTAGACGAAAAGTAAAAGACTTGATTTGAATGTAAATGACTTTGAATATAAATTGGTGTCTATATACGTACATTCTCAATGACTCTTTTCTCTAACACTGGTACTTTGAGTTTGTATGAGTGATTTGTACAAAAGTGAACACACTGAATCTTAATACAGAGATCCTAATTTATACTAATTTCATCCTAACGGTCTTTTTCTACAAAAGTGTCACGTTCGAGTCTTGCATGCTTCTTCGAATCATCAGGCTTCCACACATTCTTCCGGATAAGATCAACCCATTTGAATTCGAATCATTCTTCAATTCGAAGCGCCGAAACAACATGATGTGTCAAAACGATTCAAATTCAAATCTTCACATAACTTAAGTCCATATATTCGCAATAAGACTTTTGTCATTGCTTAACATAATCACTGTCCATAATTTGGTCAGTATGAAATACTCATATTTTCTTCCATAACTAAACTTCTTTCCATTTCTTCATTTTCCTCAATGTCATATATCGTCGAAATTCTCAGCTAACAACGTCCCAATTTAAATTCAAAACAATTTACTTTTCAGTTTTCAATATCACATTCTACTTTTCCAATTGTTTTTACTTTTGTCTATTTTATCTGCATTTCTCAAACCTTACCTGATTTTTATACCCAATTCAAACACTAAAACCATTTAAAACTTAACACTTTGTTTTAAGATTTTATAACCGATCCTACAAAATAACTTTAATAAGATATTAGAGATTGTTTACCAAAAACTTGTGTAAACACAAACATAGCATGAGTTCATTTTGTAATTGTAAAGAGTTCATTTTTTATTATTGTTATGAGTAATCTAATATTCCTTTCAATAATACATTTTGCTTATACATCTTCTAGCATTGTACAACTGACATTCAAAAAGCTCGAGTGATACAACTCTATAAATAAAAAGACCATAGTCCATAGGAAATATGTTCCTTGTAGGTATAGACATATCTCAATATTACAGAAAAATAAATTGATTTAGCTGTCCCTTAAGAAGGATCAGATTCCCAAAAATTGAGAATATAACCGCAGTAAATGCATTTTTAATCCAAGGGATCGAATGTTTAAACTTTCTTCTCTTAATTAGTTTAGTATACGAATAAAAATTCAAAGTTGACATCCTCTACGGTTGAACATGATGTAGGTCCTATGAAGTTATTTATTTCATACTCATGTGACAAGGAATGTTACTAATTTTATATTATGTGACGTTACTAATTTTATATATGTGAATGGATAAAACAAAAGAAGCAATAAGAAAATAAATATATATAAAAAATGAAACAAAAGAGGCAATAGGAGAATAAAAAAGTAAAGCAAAAGAGGCAAAAGGAAAATAAAATAACAAAAGAGGCAATTGTTCACCAAACTATACTAGTGTGCAGCCATGATCTGTAACATTTAAAAATTATGCATTTCTCTTAGTTTGTTTAACTACAATAATTAGAATGGTCAAATCGCCACCTTGCAAAGCATACCACAATTTTCCCAAGTCTGTGACACTAGAATCATTTTACCTTTACCATTGGAGAAAAACCGTGATTTCATTGTTTAGACAGTTTCATGCTTTGGAATAAACGAAAGAGAGTGGAGTCTTGTTGGGAAGAATAATATACTGTATGAGGTAATTTGGAGGATTTGACTAAACATTTGCTATAAAAAACTGCAGATCTCATCTTAATAGTGTAAGCACTGTTCTTATGGTTAATCAGTGGGCAGAGTTGCTTAATTTGTGATCTGTGTTTTAGATAATGTTATGCTATTCCTATATAAAATCCTTCTGATATATAAAAGTAAAAGCAAGCCAAGAACTCAATAACTAAGTACACCACAGAAGCAACATTACAGTCTATTAGACAGGGATTTCCCAGTAAGATTTAACAATAAAAGATAACTGCATTATACCTCAATTTAAGATGACACAAATCTCTCCTGACTTAAATCATAATAACTCAATTTAAGATGACACAAATCTCTCGAAATTCAAACCAGTTGTTGGGATTCAAATCCGAACCTAGAAATGCAGTAGTGTTACAACTTTTGGAGAGAATTTGGAACCGGATTCCCTGCCTGCGAGGCGGGAATGGTATGTGTCTTTCAAGCAACCTTGTCCATACTATGAGTCGTGTCAGACTTCTTTAAAATATAAATAAAAACAGACAAACCCAAATTAAAACATCGTGGAATCGCACCACCAACCCACTGCACTTCGCCGACCCACACGTCCTAGAAAAATTGCCACAGTATTGTTTGATTGTGGGCCAAAAAGCATGATAGATGCATAAGGAAACAGAATTGCTCACAATAAATGCATAATTAACTAATTTTACAAAAGGGAAAATTCAAAAGGAACATGCATCACTGGCAAATTCAAATGGCAGTGTCGGCGATATCGGAACAGGTGTCACCGTAGGTGTAGTGGCATGGCACCGGCAAAAACAGGAAAGTAGAGATCCCAGTTTTTTTTTCCGGGTTTATCTGTATAAAGTTTCATTTCTAGAAAACATTAAAGGCAGCCACATGGCTTATTTTGGAGTACAAGATTCATCGGTTGGAATCCAGATCCGGATAATTTATCCCTCATTTCAGCCCCACACAGCTCAACTATGCACAGAGGATTTCCGGCGAGAACCAAAAAAGATATCAGATCATAGTCATACAAACAGTTCAAAGAAAAATGCATCCAAGTTTCAGACAAATCAATACTACCAAACACAGCCTAAGCACACAAAACCATCAAAAACCAAAACTCTTAACCGTTAGCATCAAACACTTCCTAAACACTACAACCATCAAGAACCAAAACTCTTAACAGTTAGTATCCAACACATAGCCGAAATATAAATGACACTAAGGCCTAATAACATTTACATAGAATGTGATTATCCAGCTAACAAGAATGTCACAATACATATCAGTATCTGTATATTACCAGAAACAATCAATACTCGTCATTCTTCCTCCGAACCCAATGTATCTTAGTTCTAAACCCAATGAAAAGTTAACCTTATAACAGCATAGAACCAAAATACTAATACAATTTAAAAATTAAATAAAAACCAAACCTCCACCTTTGCATTGAAGACTCACCCGGGCAACTTATTACTTTTTTCACACCCTAAGAATCTGAAGCTTAGAGGAGAAAGCAATAGCAACCCAATCAGGCTGCGAAGAAGACCACTGAAGCTGTTCAATTTCCGCACCAGCGGTGTAAGCCAAAATCGGATCGAGCCCACCTTCAACTGGTTGCCCCATGGAAGAAAGATCCCAAATCAACGCCTGAGAATCATCCCCAGCAGTACAAATATGGCAAGAACTATGAGGCGCCCAAGCAATCGCATTCACACTAGCCTGATGTCTCTGCAACTCGACAACTGGCAGGGTCGGAAAACGAATATCAAGCACAACAACCTTAGCAGTATCCATAATAATCGTAGCCATATAACGAGGATCCTGCTTATTCCAACCCAGCCTAACCAAGGGCGTATCCGCTTCAGAGCTCTCGTAAATTATGGTGGAATGTTCCTTATCGCGTAAATCAAAAACCCTAACAGACCCATCAGCAGAAACCGAAGCGAAAACACCAACACCACCCCAAGCTATATCGTACACCTCTTTATCATGCGCGATCAGCTGTGTATCAACGGTTTCCTTCTCGATATCCCAAATGGTACACGTGGTGTCGATACTGGACGTCCCGATTCGTCTGGGCTCCGCTTCGTTCCAGTCGAACGAGGTTATAGGACCGCAATACTCACTGTTTTTGTTACCGTTAAGGAGGCTTTTGAGTTCAACGCGAGACTGGGATTCATCGGAATCGGAGATTCGCCATATACGGAGAAAGTCGCTGGAGGTGGCTAGGAGGTCGGGGCGGTGGCAGTCTTTGTCAGGGATGAAGATTGCTTTGGTGGGAGGGTATGGATGTTCGAAGGAGAGATTAGGATCGGATTTGATTTCGCCGTTGGTGTCGTCGAGTTGGACGATTTCGACGCGGTTAGGGTATTGTTCCAGGAGAGAAGCGATGGCGAGACGGTATTTTTTGTCGCGGCGGACGCTCCAGTTCATGGCGTAGATGTGCCATGGGGCTTCGTAGGTGTAGATTTCGGAGCGTTTTTGTTGCTCGTCGGAGGGGTCTAGGGTTGGCTCTGTGGTGGCGCCCATTGGAGTGAACAACAATCGAACAAACACTGCCTACTTACTTGAAGTTGAAATTAGAGACAGATAGGGGGAAGCTTTTGGGTTGGGACCCACTCTCTTGTTAATATTCTTTTCATTATTTCATCATGACTTTAAGGATAATGCTAATTTACACTCTTTTTTTTACTAACTTAAATAAGTATAAAAATTTAATATTAAACATGTTCATCATCCTTTTCCTTTTTAATTGTCTTGACTTTTTATATATATTAAAAAAATTAATAAGATTTTTTGTTGTCTATAATATTTTTAACTTTTAATTATTTCAATATAATTTTTCAAAATAAATAATTAAAAGTAATTTTGACAGAATTATAATAATTATTATTTAAAATTTAAAAATATAATTAAATAAAAACATATTCTTTTTCACAAAAAGTGATACTTATAAAAAGAATGAAGAGAGTAGTTGATGTTGTCGCTCGCCATGCAATTTTCATATTCATGAATGCTTACTATTAGTATAAGCAAACACTAGTATATTTCAAGCTTAGATGAGCACTTGGAATCTAAGAATGGATTGTTGTATTTTTTGGACTCAAGTATGCATGTGTCACTTATTAAACTTAATAAATAGCATTTTCCTTAACCTCATTTGCAAGAGTGTGGAAATTTATATTTCTAATTTGATTTGGTGATAACTTCCAAAGCTATTGTTTGAATTAGGGTAGGAATTGGATAGAATGAGGTTTCATGTTTTAATAACCATAATAATTATGATATTTTTTTACAAAATTTAATGCTAACGAGTGAATTATTTTATTATAATCAATATATTTTTGAATAAATCTTATTTTTTATAAAAATTTATATTTTCAAACATGTATATCCTTCAAAAGTTCAGTTTTTTTTAAAAGAAATTGTCATCATGTCTAAATGAGTATTTGGAGTGAATGCTAGGAATTTTCTATGTCTTTTGGTACATAGACAAAAACAAAGTCAAACCCATATTTGAGGTTAGGCCCCTTGCACTAAAAAGAAACTGGTTGTCTCTTATAAAAAAAAACTATTTTTTTAGTAAATTCTTATTTAATTTGAATGGTGGAATGAAAGTTTTTTCATCATTAGCCGATGGATTCAAAAAATATGACGTGGGAATCCAATTAATAAATGAAATTTAATTTGATTTAAGATGTAATGACTAACTATCTATCGTGGTATCGAAGGTGAGTCAATTAATTGTTTATTAACACAAATGCTAATAATGAAGTAGAAAGATTGGTGTACTATCTTCTCTGAAGTTTTGATATTCTAAAAATTATAAAGTACATGTATCTGACACATATGTGTTTGATAGACCTTGATATATATATATATATATATATATATATATATATATATATATATATATATATATATATATATATATATATATATATATATATATATATATATATATATATATATATATATATATATCAGAGAACACTACAAAAAAAAGGTCGTCTGTCACGATAAGAAAACTGCGGTTATATGCAATATTATCGTGGTTGTAAGTTTTGGTCACAATTTAGTCTTGAATAAGTGATTGTGAGATATGCAGCTGTGGTCTAAATTATACGCCACGGTTTTCATGTTTGGGCCACGTTTTATATATATATGTGGCTTGAATAGGCCACGATTTAGGTATCTAGGTTAAGGTCGCGGTTTATCTTGCGCCTCGGTTATTAACAGTAGCCGAATCTAGTCATGGTTCTTATTTAATGTATAGGGTTTTAATTTAAGGCCACTAATTAAAACTACGACTACATTTTGTTCATAGTTTTATACCATTTAAGTAGGTCGCAGTTTCTTTTTGTGTCGCATAGTTGTGACCATGTTGTTCTTTATGTCACGGCATAAAGAATCATTTTAGATCAATATAAAATATCTTGAAACAAGAATACTCATTTTTGTAGATATTGATTAAAAAAATTAAAATTTAATTATACGAGAAAATATTAAGCCACAAATCACACCAACATCAAATCACATAAACACATAAACATCAGTTCTAACACATAAACATCAGTTCACATCAGCAAACATGCATCAAATCACACCCTATCCAAATTATAAACACATAAACATGAACATAAACATTAATACAAATTCTAACCAACTGCATTCCACCCTATCCAAATAGAAAATCAATTTAACATTAACAATACTAACAGTCAATTAACAAGACTAACATTCTAACAATTTAACGAAAAATACTAACACAGTTTAACAGAAAAATTAACAAGAATAATTGAACTAAGTAACAGTTAACATCACTAACACCAACATAACATAGAAGTTAACTTGAATCAGTTACTAACATACTTTCTCAACCCCAATTCCATATCAGTTCCAACCCTAGTTACTCACCCTAAAAAAACTCAGTGTTACTCACCTCAATCCAATCAGATTCAAATCATTGTAACAAAATCTACATGCAAAAAAAATTAACACAACTGGTAACAATGAAATCATAACAAAATTAAAAATGAAACCCTACCGGTAACTCCAACGATAATCCACAAGGGAAAGCTTATGTTGCTACCTCAATAAAGGAATCAAAACTGCAAAACAAAATATAGATTAGGTCAACTGCAAAACAAAATCTACAAGCTTGTAACAGAAAATCATGAATAAGGAAAAGAGGAGAAAAGGAGAAGAGGAGAACAGGAGAAGAGGAGAAGCGGGGAAGAAGAGAAGCGGAGAACAGAAGGAGACGCTGAGGAATAGAGGAGACGCTTCAGATGATTACAAGTTTAATATTGAGGAACAAGAGGAGACACTTCAGATTATTACTAAATTAGGTTAGATGCATCCTTATCGCATTGTATTTATTTTTTCAATCTTTTTTCCTTTTTTTAATCAAAAAAATTAGAAATGAAATTAATTAACGAGAGGGAAACTAAAAAAAAGAGGAAAATTCTGGCGGGATATATTTTTTTGGGCATGGGCCACAGTTTGAAGTGAAAATTATAATGTCGCGGTTTTTCTTTTTGGCTTAAAATATCTACAGTTTGTTATTTGTGGCTAAAATATAAGTGTGATTTTGTAACCGTGACAATTGAAGAAAAGGCCACAGTTTCACACTCTGGATTCAATATTTCAAAACATATGTCTACAATTTGAAAACTCTGGCCAAAGCTTGTATATGGCCACAATTTTTGAGTTGTGGAAAAATTTAGTGTGGCCAAAAATATTGTAGTGAAGTATCTAGCAAGTAGGGTCGTCTTTGAAGGCATGCAAGGCAGGTTACTGCACAAGGCCCCAAATTTGTCAGAAGTCCTGCTCACATGAGATGAGAGACTCTGCTAATGACCAGTGACGTTTGAAAGTGAGCGTATGGTTACGGCCACTCGTGTGTTAAGACTTTAGTGAGCGTTGTACTCTTTAAGGTGTAGAGAATTTGTAGGAATTTACAACACTTACTAAAGGTTAATGAATACTACTATTTTTATTAACCTCATTTGCAATAGTGTGAAGGTTTAGATTAATGATGTGGTGATCAAGTGTAGTAAATTCAAAAACCATTTATTGGAATTATAGTAGGAATTGGAGAAAGTGAGGTTGCATGTTTTAATAATCTT